GTTCTTATTAACTCACTACAAAATTTTATTCAGCGTCTTTTTTACTACCAGGAAGTAAATGGAGAGCATTTTGAGCATCTTTTGTAGAAAACGGAAGTTTAATCTTGGTTTCGGTTGTTATTGGTTATTTTATTTATTGTTTAATAGTATGTAATTAAAATTAATAATTATTAATTTATTTAATTATTGTTTAATACTTTATTTTACCATTTCAATAAAAAACAAAGTATGTTTTGTGTTACATTAATGAATTCAGAAAAAAAAGCTCGATTCAAAAATGTATTAATTATATGGTAGTGCTATTTAAAAAAAATCAATTTGGCTTTGCATCACAAAAACAAATGAAGCAGAAAAATGTTTTTGGCGAATAATTAGCGCAAAACATCTTGTATCCCTGTACCTAATTTCAGTTGATTTGTACAATTGGTTCTAAAGATATTTAACCGTTTCCATACATTCTAGCGATCCTGCATATGTATTGTCACAAAACGTTTACAGTTCTTGACTTTTTTCCGCTTCAATTTGTTGGAATATTCTTCTGCTTCTTTGTTAAACTTTTATAGTCTTCTTACGACCAACCAGTTGAGTTCTTTCATTTACTCGATACACCTTTGTGTCTTTATTATTTATTTTTATATTTCTCCAATAGTAACTGTATTAACATTTTAACTGATTTTGTTGGATTTCTTGCCGAATGCAATATAAAAAATAAGTTTATTTTTCACTCGTCTATAATGTTTGTTTTATATCCATAATTTGATGGCCGTAAAGCGGCCTGTTATACCCGGGGCGTAATGAGCGGGCATAATATAGAATTATTAAACCGAATTAAACAAAAATTTAAAAATGTATTCTTTATTTAACTACATCTTTATTTTTTGACAATTTATTTAATTATGGGAATAGAAATTACACTTTACAAACTTTCATTCATTTCCGCGGTCGAATACATGCGTGTTGACACCGTTTGAAAAGACGCCGTGTTTGCAATAAACCATCGTAGATTCTCCTTGACAACAAAATAAACGCCACATAAGTTTTCTTACGAATTGATTATATAAATTCTTATTTTTTTTAGATTGTCTCGTGGAAAATAAAAGTTTGTATGCACCACGGGCACAACTTGATGTTTATAAATCTCGGGCAACTTACAAAATCTCGGGCCAGAGAAAGAATATAAACATCTTCATTGTGCCCTTGGTACATAAATAATTATCAAAAGCTTGAGTTATATTTTTTCGGTACTGAATATTTAACTTTATTTATACCCGTCATTGTTCCAGTTTGAAGCAAGTTCGTTATTGTAACACGGGTTAGAAAATTATTTTGTAGTTATTTTGTGATAAACTTGGAAGTTATTGTGGGTTTATAGTAATTTTTTCTGGTTTGATTTTAATGTTGTCCTGCGGCGGTATTTTTATTCACTTTAACAACACATGTCACGCCAAACCTAGGATTCAGATTACAGGATTCTGCATCCTGATGCGATTCGGAATTATGAGATTTGTTTAATAGGATTTGAGAATCCAGAATTTAGCATAACGGGATTCGGGATAACGGACGTCATAAACACACCCTTTTTCCAATGAATGCGATTTGCCGTCAAATAATTTAGATTTTATTGCATGTTATGTTCGTTTTTTCTCCCTAGACATTGACCATCTTTGACAAACTATTTCTATATAAAACAAGGAATAAAAAATAAGTTTTCAGTTATTAGAGAATTCTCGTTGTTTATTAGAAGTATATTAAAAATATTGTCGAAATCATCTGATTGGGTATTTTTATATTTTTATATTTTTGTGGGTAATATTGAGGTATAAAAATCTGAATTAATTTATTCATTAATCACTTAAAGATATAAGGTGTTTCAGTTGAACAGTCTTCTCAAAATTATATCAAAACTATTTTAATTCATAAAACTGTTTGTTGCACTTACGATTTTATCATAAACAACTTTTCAGGGACAATTTTTCTACTTCTCTGGCATATTTTAGTACGGCAAGTGACACAAAATTTACAGTAGGTTACAGAGCAAAACTTTCTATTAAATTTATTTATTTGAAATCGTCTTAATTCCAAGATTTTGTCATATAACATTCTGCAATGTTTGTTTAAAAAATGATGGTTAATTTGATTTGTATTGAAATTATTTTAGAAGGTACTAGCCCCGCCCACCCAACCTCTCTTTTCTTAGAAGGTATATTATTTGCCAAATTCGGTCTTAATTTAGCAGCTACTAGCCCCGCCCACCCACCCTCTCTTTTCTTAGCGGGTATGTCATTTGCCAAAATCAGTTTTATCTTAGCAAGCACTAATGACTAATTTTTACAAAAAATGATCAAAATTTGGAAACATTACGAGCTTACTTATATGCACAAAGCAGGAACTTTGAACATCTCTAGTGTTTAGTTGGTTATGGTTTAATGGATTTTTCTTTTGTTGTTATTGTTTTGGTTTGTAATTTATAAATGTCTTATTTAATGTTTTTTTGTTTATTTATTAATGAAAAATAACAGTTTGTTTTATTAATAATAATACATAACGATTAATGACTATTGGCTACTGTCCTAAAAAAATAAAAGATGGATTTCACTGATTTCAGTCACCATCGTTACTAAAAAATCAGAAAGTAAGCCGGAGGTATTCACGCATTAGGTGCGTTCAGGGTTGACAATTTTATTTTTATAAAATTAGGTTTTTTTCGTATTCTACATCATAAAGAATTTTTTTATTACTTTTTTTGGGACTCTCGAAACTACCGTACATAACGTACTGAAGAGTTAATCCGCCATTTTCCAGACACCCGGTATATCTGAAATTTTCAGAATTAATATTAGAAATCTGATATACCAAAAATATGTACATATATGGCATGTTGCGCCTGAGTATATTAATGTTTTTCAGATTACTTGTTTCCTACCATTTTTTTCACTGATATTGTTTTCTTTTTTCATAACCACAACTAAAGTTCATTAATTAATCATAACTATGAATATATTTAACGGGTGTTCAGTTGAAAAAGTCATGAATTTGGCGTAGCTTGTTTGAGAGAAGAAAACGTAGCAAAAAATGCTTGTGTTTTATTAATTCATACTGTCATGTATAATTGACATTTCCTCTTTTTCAGCTGTTATCGATAAAATTTAGATTTGCTTCACAATCTTTACAAAAAATCAAGACGAACTCGAAAACTTTTTCAGTGCAACACCCAATAGCTATTTAGAGCTTTTTTGTAATTTAAAATGTCTGCCAATTTTACCTCAGATCACAGGCGACAATATTATCCTTTGATAAAAAAATACATAATTATTTTGAATTCATGATTGATTTATGAGCTTCCAATTGAAAGCTAATTTTTTCACTAGATATTAATAATTGAAAAGTAGAATAATAAATTTAAAAAATGGGGTACTTTTTTCGAAAAATGATAGATAAAAAACAACTTCCTTGTGCAAGTATGATAAAAATTTAAAATACAGATTACAGTTTGTTATAAATTTCAATTTACTATGTCAAGAAAAAGTGGCCATAGTCGAAGCTAGATATTCTACATATTTTCAAAATAAAATAATTATAAAAACTATTTCTAAAAACTACTACAGTTTTAAAAAATTCACGAAATAAAAAGAAATAATTACGGAGAGTAATATAGATATTATACAGGGTGTTTAGAAAATATGCCGCAAAAATGCAAGGGGATATTTCTTGAATTATCTGAAGACTTTTTGTCCTTGGAGATTTTCGGATGCTTTATTTCGAAGATACGGCTAGATAAAAGTAAAGTAAAACTGCGGTGTACTACATGGACCTACATACGAAGTACAAGAATTGTGCAGAATTAGTTTCCATTTTGACTTGTCATCGGCGACATGGGTTTTTATTGATTTTTTAAAACATTAGTGTACACTACTCCAGGGAGTAGTTGAGGTGTGTAATGCAATAAGAAACAACCCTGGTATTTTTAGAAAAGTTCGACAGTCAATGAGGAGAAGATTTTATCGGCCTGTAATTTTGAAACACAGCGTTTTTCAGAAAATCATCCAAGAAAATAAAAATCTTAAAATAACATAAGGAATAACGCCCTGAATTGTTCATGAACGTTTAGTAAACACCCTGTATATTGACAAATAAATACAAATATAATCCTCCAAATTGCTGTTAAACACAAAAATGCTTAGACTTCGCATACGGGTACGATGACGACAACATTCTCGGAGATGAAAGAATGTTTTTGTGAATTTTAAATATATAATTTTATCAGGATTTTGCTATTTCTTTAGGTTCTCTATGCTTTACAAATCCTAGATAATTTAAATAATAAGAACCACTTCTTCCTTTGCTATTTATAACTAGGATTTAGATGAACGCCCCGATGTTGGGTTTCTTGTTTTATTGCTAACAAGAATACATATTTCTGTTAAAAAAAAAACTGTTTATTATTTGTTGTTTATGATTTGTCTGCTTGTCCTATTTTTTTTTTGACTCTCAATAAACTAGTGAATGAGTTTTTACATTGCTATAATCATAATTTATTTTGGCTTGGGTTATGTAAAATAGTTCGCACATACATAAAAAAATCTACATTACCATCGTTATTGCATTAAAAAACGCCGCAGATTCCTTTGCATATCAGCTTCTCTCCGCAGCATATCGATTCTGAACAATATATCTCAGATCTCCTCGATAAAAAAAATTTGCTTGATCATAACTTTCGAAGTTATAAAAATAAAAAATCACCTTCAAGTACATCTTTAAATTCGTCGCGCACACTAACCATTACCCGTAATTTTACCTCTTGTTCTTTTACTTCCACTTCAGTTTTCCTTAATCCTTGTGTCACTAATTTAAAGCATGTCCCGAAATAACTAAGCTTGTCTTTCCTCCGCATGCATCTAGAACATGGATTAACTGTAATACATCTCTCTCGATGCACCGGTGTACCACCCAATAACACTAAAATACTTTTCTTTCCCTCATAAGAAAACTTTCTATTTCAGGTAGCAGATCGTTATCAGACCCTATCAAAACCGAATCCGGAGTGGGCGTCGACTCGACCGACGGTGATGATGGAAAAAATGACAAGAAAACGAAAAGACAAAGAAGACAACGGACACACTTCACTAGTCAGCAGCTTCAGGAGCTTGAAGCTACCTTTGCTAGGAATCGGTATCCTGATATGAGCACCAGGGAAGAGATTGCGATGTGGACGAATTTGACGGAGGCGAGAGTTAGGGTGAGTGAAAAATCGTGATAAAGAAAACAGATGTTGCGGAGACGATGGCCAGCGGGTAGGATTTATGGGAAGCACTTGAATGTAAACATGTAACAGAAGTTGATCTCTGGGCGGTGGCGTTTAGGGATGGGAGGTTGCTACGGGAAATTAATTGGAAGGAAAACAACCCACTTTTCAGAATCACCGAACGCTCCGGAAGACCTAATAAATACTCAACTATAATATCTTTAAATCTGAAAGTTTTGTCACCCGTGAAATAAACAGCAGAATGCGGCTAATTATTTATAAACCTCTTTTACGAATGTTGATTTAGACCATTGTGATAATGATAAGTTAAAAAGTTACCAAAAAATTGTTAATGTTTATTATGATTACGCAACGAGCGTCAAGTTTTAGAAGCACTTTTGCCTATCTTTTTTCTAAAATTAAACACATTTCAATTGATGTAATCTCTAGACTTCAGGATTCTGTCAATCACTTGTAAAGTTGTCATTTAAACTTGATTTTTAAATATTGATGTCGGTTATTTATGCTTCGATTATAGCTTTGATTAATTCTGAGGTTATTTAAAAAATTATAAAACTTGATTTTGAGAATTTTTTATAATAAACTAAATTTTTGGGGCAACTGAGGTTAGCCGTCCTTAATTTGATCAATAAAATAATTGTTTTAATAATTAATTTTTCTGAGATACCCTGCACGAGCAACTCTAAAAAATATGACCTCTCATAAATCTTGTAGATTTTAGATAGGATTTATTTAGCAAAATTTTGAAATGACGTCATCAAGGTTTTGGTGAAATAAAGACATAAATTTTGATTGCTGAATTACCATACCTACATTAACCTTAAAACGTTTACAGTTTCATAGCATTCGGTTTTGCAATTTCTAAGATACGTTGTAAAATGTAGTACAATTTTGATTTTTTTCCAATAATCTTGATGTTTAGGATGACAAATTAAGGCGAATTCATAAACCACAAGTATAAGAGTATGATATTTTATAAAAATTAAATTGTTGGTGGGGATGATCAGATGAATTTTGGTTACCAGTTGTACGATATTAGTAAAACACACAGACAACTTGACGGCAGTCAGTTGATGTGGACGACAAATGACAGAAAGATGGGAACGAAAGTCCCATTTTTTCGTACTGTAGGGATCATAAAACATCGAGAAAACATGAAAGTTGTCGTTTGCCCGATGGACTCTATTACGTGCATTTTGGGTAGGCACAGATTTTTTAGTGTAAAACTGTATTTTCATAACTCGGCGGGATGTCATTCAGCTGCAAAAAGGGAAATAAGGATGCAAGATTAATATGTAAGTTATTATGAACAAAAAAAGACGAACAAACGTTGGGGTGAAATACTTCTTGTATTTTGAATTTTACGAAAAATTTCTTTAGTTTTTTAAATTTTCGTAAGTTATTTAAACTGCTTATTTTTTTATGGGGTTAATTTCCATTTAGTCATTGTCAAAATTGCCTAGGGGGGTATGTTTTATGGATCGTGTACTTAAGAAGATATATTAATGTTATAAAAAATTATAGAAAGCTTCACTTTCTTTCATAAAATCCACATTTTGTACATTTGGAAATTTTAAATTATAAAAAAATTAGAGGCCCAAAATATTAAACGAAACAAAACTGTTTTCAACAAAAGTTCCAATTTAAAACCGTAAAACTTTATATAAATTTTGAAACAAATAATCTAGAGAAATTTTTGTAACGCGTAAAATTCGGACAACATGAAAAGTATATATACACTTTTAAAGTGAAACAGGCTAAATATTATACACATTTTAATATAGTTTATGTAGAAATAAATGTCAAAAATTTTACAAATTCCAAAATTTGAGATTTGAAGTGTCTCTAACAAATTTATTTTCAAAAAATGAAAGAAACTTATATGGAAATCTTGAACGTTTTAATTTTACAAAATTTCGCTGTGATGTAGTTATCATAGTTCGACCATTAAATTTTAATTAATTTATGGCTTTTCTTTTTTTCTGAACTCAAGTAGTATTGGTTTATCTTCTCACACCGGTTTATAATACATACAATCCAGTAAGAACCAATCTTCTTTTGTAAGGTTAAAAATTCAGGAGTTGCCTAAAATTTTTTCTTCATGTAGCTTTTCCTTTCGCTCTGCTTATTCTCTCAGTTGTCATAGATAAATCTATTATTTACAAAAATATTTGTTACAATTTGTGTTAGACCCACCGTTATGGAGTTAAATAAAAAATTAATTGTACTTTTACTTTCAAGAAAACTCAGCTTTAGAATCACAGCTATCTGATCTGAGAAGTCCAAAAAAATTGAACCAAGTTTATTTCGACAGAACTTCCCTCGCCCCTCAAGTAACGTCCAATATATATCGCTTTTTCGAAAAATCATATAATTTGCTTTTGCGAATTTTGTCTTGTTTTTCGGGTTTGAACCTTGTGGAAGTTAAAAAAGGTTTCGAAGTTTCGCCCATTTTCGTAAGGGGCATCTTCAGCAAATGAAGGGTGAAAGAGTAAAAAGTTCAGTGGAGAGAAGAGAGAAACGTATTAGGTTAGGTATATCAAATCTATTTAACATTATATCAAATATATTTAAAGCAGATAACTAACGGGAAAAATGTAGTTTCAGTAACATGTTTAACTTCGAGTGTTTATATGTAATTATACTTTGAAAGACGTCGACAAGTAGCACGTTTTGACAACAAACATCAGCGGTCGCGTGGATTTGTGCTAGAAGAAAATGGAAGAAAATGAAATTTGATTGATTTAGCCCTTAAAAGAGAAGAGAAGACTGATTAATTAATTAAACTACATGGAGCAAAACGGTCCGAATATTATTTCGGCTGAGGATCTGTTTTTCTGATAATTATTATTTTATTGTTATTAAATATAGGCGGGCCGGACATTATTACATATTATATTTTTGAGAAAATGGGGCGAATCGCAACTGATTCGATTAAAAAAAATTAAAACTTTATGGGATCGAACTGCAGATTTTTCACTTACAAACAAGACCGTTATGTTGATTTGCATACATTAAGTGGCTAAAGAACAAGAAGGTTTAAACAATAACAATTATAACAATAATAAACCAAAACAACGCAGACTGTTAAAGCACAAGTACAGAGTATAATATTTTATGGAATTTAAGTAACAATTGTCAAAATTTTGAGGCAATGTCATCACGTTGTTGATGGGCATGATTAGACAAATTTTGATTACCGTTTTACCATCTACACGATATTCCTATATATGGACGTACAAAATTTGTCAACAATCAGTCCAGTAGTTTCGGTGATTATCTGTCTATTAAAAATCCGGACAGACGGCAGACGGCAAACGGCAAACAGACGGCAACGAATTTTTTCGTACTCTAGAGGTAATGAAACGTCGAGAAAACATGAAAGTAGCTAGTCGTCTCATGGACTTGATTAGAATACTTCTTTAACTTACCCTCAGGAAGTAAGAATGAATGTCTTTCAAAACAAATTAAAAATTCATTATAGGATTACAAGAAATTTTGTTTGCAAAGACAGGACACGTATGAATATTCCGTTTAAACTAGATTAAACATTTTTTAGAAAACTTTCTCGATATATTATTTGAACAAACTCTAAAACACTATGAAATTGTTTTATTTACTTCAAGATTACTGTTTTCTGTTGCAAAACTTTAGTTGCAAAAATATCCAAAAAATATTCTTTAAGCCTTGACCCTTACCATGCAAAAGAAGTGTACAAGAATGACAATAAATCCATTAAATAATAAATATTTAATAAACTTATAATATAAAATATACTTCTTTAATTACGTGTCAGTATTTAATCTTACGAAGCAATTTTCAAATCGTATTTAAATTTATTCATAAATTAATAGTAAGAAAATAATAAATAATTTTCGAGGCTTCCACGGTCGGAATCAATACATGATCGTTTTCCGGGTTGGAACCGTGTAAATTGAGTTTTTGGGCTCAACGTTTCGCACACCTTCGTAAGTGGCATCTTCATACCCTTTATTCTTAACCCTGCTCCTGAAGATGCCACTTAGGAAAGTGTGCGAAACGTTGAGCCCAAAAACTCAATTTTTTTTTTTAGGTGATCAAATTAGATTCTTGAAGAAGAGTGGGGTGGGTGTCTGCGAAATATGGCTGCAGCAGCAAATGTAGCATTTAGCTAGCATAATCATCATAAGCTTTATTCTTAACCCTACTCCTGAAGATGCCACTTACGAAAGTGTGCGAAACGTTGAGCCCAAAAACTCAATTTACACGGTTCCAACTCGGAAACGATCATGTAAGAAAATAATACATTTTTCGAACAAAAAGGGAAATAGAAATAATTCTATTAAAGAACAAAAGTCATTTTTATTCGCATCGAAAGTACATATGTGTAGAAATGCAATAATACATGTCTTATTCTCATCCTACACAACCGCGTTTAGCAGTTGTTAGAGTTGATGTTTTTAAAAAGACGGCAAAACATTGTCCATTAGTTTCTGTAATGTATTATATGTATTATAATATATATGTAAAAAAATAAATAAATAAAAAATATACATATGTAATAGTATTACGGATACATATGTTTTTATGTAGCCTACTTACAATTTTTTTGTTCTGTTTTAGAACCACAATCTTGTTTATAAGCACCTAAATGCGGGCATAAATTGGCCTTTATGGCACAAATCAGTCAACAACTGCTAAGCAACGATTTATTATTCATTTGTATTAGAGTTCGCATCGGCACAATTCACACAATCTTACAGGAAATACTCAAAATTTCGCTAAAAATGGTTTAGAAACTAAAATAGAATAAAACGTTGTATGTATGTACCACGGGCATAATTGTCGATTGTGGCCCTCGGGAAATTAAAAGTCCTCCTTCGTCGGGCTTTAAAAACTCCCTCGTGTTATAATCTCCCTAATTATGTACTTAGTACATAGAGAACTATTAACTTTTTTTTAGTATTAATCGTTTAAATAAATTCTATTCTTTG